TATTGGCATAGGAAGGATGCTCAGAGATAGTGAGGCCAAGAACACAGTTCAGATTCAAACTTGCTTCGAATGGCTATGGCGCTTGTACGCCCTCACAACACCCTTCCGACACTGTATTCCCAGCAACTGTTCACACACACACTACTCTGGATCTCCTTGGAAGTCCCACACACGCACACACAGACACGCTATAGCCTATCTCTAACCTACAGCAACTATGGCTGCCTTCTACCTCCCCTACTAACTGGCGGCTATGGCCGCTTCGTCTCCTTCACAGCCCACTTCTCCTTCGGCACCTGCAGACCTCCTTGCACAAGATGCTCAGACAGCGCTTCTGCACGGCTCATAGGCAGAATGAATGAATGGCTGGACGCTGCCTCTTGATTTATACTTCGGTTTGCCGCTGGTCTGCCCCCTTTCCACCGAGCCCAGAGTGCACACAGTCCCACATGGTACTTGCTGACTGGACAAGGTGCGACTAGGACTGGGTACCACTGACTAGGTGAGGTTGGACTGCCCACTTGCCCACTTGCCTCTAGCCTAACCTAAGCAATTCTCGAAAGGTCACTTCCGAATTCCGGACCTTCCGGAAGTCTGTAGGATTAACCTTTCAGGACTGTAGCAGCTACGACTTCTGCACAGCTACGACCAGCGACCACACTAACCTGCGACAGACAACAGGTGACTACCAAGACACAGGTCGCGGGTTCAAACACACAGGGGTCAACTTGGTACTGTACACGGGTGAGGGCAAGGTCTAGGGATCGAGCCCTGGGATACACGTCTGCTACTGCAAAGGTGAAAACCGTTTCACTTTAGCTAGATGGTCGTAAAAGGTACCCACTATCTTTTCTCTTTCTCACATTTGACGAGTGGTGGAGCGAGAACCTTCGTTGATTAATAACCTACTTCTTTTGCAAAAAATAAATTACATGTATGCAATTGTACCATTCGGCCAAATGTCCGAAATGTCCGATTACATGTCAGCTTATTCGCGCAAGTGTCCTCCATCAGGATGCACCTGTATGTCCAGGCTGCCACTTGTGTGATCTTTACTGGGATGCACAGGCATGTACCTAGGTGCCTTCTGGTGAGGGCATTCGTGCAAATCAACCAACTTATAGAGGTGTGTGCAATGTCCGATTACATATCAGCTTATTTGCACAAGTGTCCTCCATCAGAATGCACCTGGATGTCCAGGCTGCCACTTGTGTGTGATCTCTACTGGGATGCACACACAGGCACATAGGTGCTTTCTGGCGAGGGCATTTGTGCAAATCAACCAACGTATAGAGGTGTCTGCAATGCCTGATTACATGTCAGCTTATTCGCACAAGTGTCCTCTATCAGAATGAAGCTGGATGTCCAGGCTGCCACTTGTGTGATCTCTACTGGGATGCACAGGCAGGCACCTAGGTGCTTGTACAGAGGTACAATTTGTACAATTAACCCTTTTGGCAAATGGTTTTGTGTAAAGACTCTCTTGCCACTTGTTACGGTCAGAAGAGGTGTCAGAAAAAAAATTTCCAACTGCATTTCCCAATCTGTCTCAGCCTAAGCAGTGTCCCCGTGAATCATCGCCCGGGCATTTTGTAGAAGGGAGGGACGTCCTTGCAACCCCTCCTCAAATGGACTATTTTTTTGGTCGAGGATCTCACGGTCACGGCTGGAGAAGAGGCGGACTACCCTTTGCACAGTTTCTGGCAACCTAATGCCAAAGCAAATGTGTCCAACCAGCTGCCCAACGCGCCACAAAAACTGCTTCTTTCGGTTGATGCTACTCGCCACGGATTTTGAGAATTGCAAGTAGATTAACCAGGCCCTTCACACACTGCGCCCTTGAATTGTCAAGTCGCCGTGGAAATGTGAGGAGAGAGGCTGTTGCTACATGATTGTGCGGCGTGGGGGACTCTGACATGCGAGTGCTTGTCCGCCTCGTCCAGCTCTTGAAATTCGTGGTGAAACCGGTGGCGCCTCGAAAGTCTACTGAGACCGGTCGCTTTGCAGGCGAACGCTTCAGTCTGTGAGCGCTCTTGAAACCCTACTACTCCTGACAGCTCCCCAAAAATTGTCTGACGAGACTGACACATTGAATTTGAGAGCTTGGATGGCAACGGCTCGCTCTCAAATTCTCGCGATTCCGGAGTGGTGCGGCAAGGCCCTTGCTCGGTCTTCAGCAGAAGCTCAGAGAATCACTCGTTTGTTTGAATCACTGGTCTGAATGGGTTGCTTGAAGCTGCAAGTATTTCTCACAGGCCTGAAGGTCCTGAATCTCTTGACGGGTGTCTGTAAACTGCCGTCAGCAGGAGGTCCATCTGACTTGAGTGAGCAGCAATACTCTTCTGTTTTTTTTTTTTGAAACTTTTTCCTAAAAAATCAATCAATTAATAAGATTATTTGATTCCATATTGCTTAACTACTATTTTTTTTCCGTCGTTTTTGCCGTCACTGAGTTGCAATCAGACTTGACTCTGGACTTGCTCACAACATGCACACTTGAGAACCGATGGCAAAAGCGAACTCTTCCAACTCAGAAACTACAATGAACTTGTACTAGGCTCAGTCTGAATCAACTGTACAACTTGCGGCTATGGCCGCCGCCAAACACTGTCTCGACCACCAGCCTCACTCTCCCCCACTCTCGCATGAACGCACGTACGAGGATCACCCTGAATGTCCACGCTGTACACACACACACACTCTGTACACCGTGTCTACACCAACAGCTGGGCGGCTATGGCCGCTGGTGTCTCTGTCGCTGGTTTGATATGGCCGCTGTCTTCTTCACAGCCCACTTCCTCTCCGGGCACCTGCAGTCCTCCATGCCCAAGATACCAAGGCAGCACTTCCACATGGCTCACGGGCGAATGAATGAATGGCCGGACGCTGCCTCTTTATTTATACTTCTTCAGAGGTACCCGGGCCCTGCCTCAAAACGTGTGACCCAGGGAAGCTTCCAGACGTTTGGCCTTCTGGCCAAAACGTGTGGAACCCACAGCGTGGTCCAGAACCTTCCCCACGTGCAGCCCCTACCCCTGACAGGGACCTACGGCCTTCTAGAGCGTACAGACTTACAAACATACTCTAGGCCTCAGTAGACTCAGATAGAGACTTCTAGAACAGACCTTCCTAAGCCTAACGGTAACAGACCTAACTCCTAATCTACAGACCTAGGGATCGAGTCTTACACAGATCGCTGGGCCTATGTACAGGGTAAAGGGTAGGTCTAGGGATCGAATCTCACTCAGCACACAGGGTCAATGTACAAGGTACGGGGTAGGTCTAGGGATCTAATCTCACTCAGCACACAGGGTCAGTGTACAGGGTTTGGGCACAGGTCTAGGGATCGAATCTCTGTGTCTGCAAATGTCGGGCCTGCTGGGTGAAACCATTTCAGAGTCATCCCAAAAGTGCAACCATGTCAGATGCCTCTACTAAATTTGTGCACACTTAAACCATACTAGGGAATTGCTTCGCATGATTTTACGAAGTTTTGTCCTGCTGGATACCCAACCCCCAACTGTTATGAAACAGATCAGCAGTCTGTTTGATGTAAAACCAATTTTGAAGTTTGAACTTCAATGCAGTAAGCTTAATTAGCAAATGATTGCTAGCTCCATCAGCCAATGATCATCCGTCCCTTTATCGACTGCATTTGTTCCTTCGTTCTTTCGTCCATCCAACTGTCTGTTGATCCATCATCCCACTCTTGCTCGCTCCGTTCCCCCCCCCCATACGTCCGTTCTTCCATGCATCTGTTTTCTGTCCGACTGCCCGCCTACCAATCCATCCACATAATCACCTATCCATCTCCATAATCACCTATCCATCTCCAGCTGTTCGTCCTCCATCCATCCGTCTCTTTGTTCGTCCGTCTGTCGACCACCCCACATGCTTACCTACTCACCCAACTGTCTATCCATCTGCCTTTTTGTTAGTTGATCGTCCATCCATCTGTCTGCTTGCCTGCCCGCCGGCCTACTCGCCCACCCATTCATCCGGTGTCCTCTCCGTCCCCCTCCCCCCGGCCTCTGCCCCTCGGCTTCTGCTTCCACTTGGCATATGGTTTTTGCTTGTACTCATGGTTGCCTCACTGTGCACATGGACAATGAAAGAATGTCGGACACGAGGGCAGTAAGTGTCAGTGAAGCAAGATTTGGCTGAGCGCTTGTGAGAAGAGCAATGTACCCTCACAAGGGAATCTCAAGATTTTCACTGTTAAAAAGAGGAAAGAAAAAAATATTTTTGATTTTCAATGTATTAAACTATATTCGTAGTTTTCTCATCATCTATCCCGATTTTCAGCAGTTTGTTTATGATCCTGGAGGATACTCTCAAGCCGAAACTGGATAATGGCCCCGGTACTTCAATTTGTTCATAAATCTTTTCTACATGTCTTCATATGGGACGCTGGGCCCGATTCCCAGCACGTGCTGCTCCCCACGAATAGATTGGAGCATGTTTGAAAAAAATAAAATAAAAAAAAATTGCACGGAGACGACAGACACAGCTGTGACCACCATGTTTCTCTCCTATGTCGTTAATGCCTTTGCACCACCCGGGAGCTCTCCCTCCATCGTCAGGACTTGCAATGTNAAAAAAAAAAAAAAAAAAAAAAGAACTGCCTTGCAGTGAGCTGTTTATTTGTTTGTTCATTTGGTTGTCCGGCCATTCGTGTTGTATTTGGTCTTTTCATTCATTTGTTCGTTCGTTTGTTTTTTTCTTTAGCTCGTTCATTGGTTCATTGGTTCATTCGTTCATTTGTTTGTTCATTTTCCTTCGTCCGCTCGTTCTTTTGTTTGTTCATTTGTTCATTCATTCATTCATTCATTCATTGTTTGTTCTTTAGTTCGTCCTTCTGCTCGTTCTTTTTTCTGCTCCTTCTTTTGTGTGTTCATTCACTCGTTCATTCTTTTGTTTGTTTGTTCGCCCGTTTGTTTATTAAACTTATTTGTTCTGTATGGGACATGTTTACTTGTTTTCTCCCGGATATTCTTCAGATACAAGACCTGTGGAAACAGTTGCAAGGTGTCAAGGATCAGAAGGCTGGCGAAAAGAGCGAGTCTGACGCACTTGACAGTGGGGAAGAGAGAGATGGTACCAGAGACCATATCCAATTACAATCAGTGTTTCAATATGCATGTGTATGTGACTGTGTTGCTATATTTTGTTCTCGCTATTGCCACAGGGCATGTGGATTGTGTGTGATAATTTGAAATACCCTCTCCCTTTCACTCTCTCCGTGCCTCTACGGTTGCTTCTCCTCTTCCTGCCTCTTCACTTTCCTCTCTTCCACACTTTCTTCCTTCTTGCTCCTTCTTGCTCTTCCTGTTTTGTGTTCCTTACCTCGCCCATATCTGTCCTCTTCCCTTTCGGTGTGCACTTTACCACTTAGCTACTCTCGTTTCCTCCTCTTCTTCTTCTTTGTTCTTCTTCTTCTTCTTCTTTGTTCTTCTTGTTCTTCTTCTTCTTCTTCTTCTTCTTCTTCTTCTTCTTCTTCTTCTTCTTCTTCTTTTTCTTTCTTCTCTTTTTTTTGTTTTTCTTCTTCTTCTTTCTTCTCCTTTTCTTCTTCTTCTTCTTCTTCTTCTTCTTCTTCTTCTTCTTCTTCTTCTTCTTCTTCTTCTTCTTCTTCTTTCTTCTCTTCTTTCCCCCCCCGTCCTTCTTCTTACTTCATTCTTTCTTGCCTTTTTTTTTTCCTGCAAAAGCTCCAGTCTATTCGTGGGGAGCAGCACGTGCTGGGGACTGTGTGCAGCGTCCCTTATGACATTTTATACAAGTGGATTTGAAAATTCCGGGTCCATTGCCCCGGCTTGGCCAAGAAAACAAACCGAAAGCACGAGACTAGTTCAATCGGATTGCTAGAAATGCTGTGTGATGTTGCCTCTTCCTTTATCCAAAAAGGCCTGGGGGAACAGCAGGGAACTGAGGGGCATCAGCCCCAAATGTGGGAAGTCTTCTGCCGATCTCATTGGTAGACTTGGGTCTATCTTGGTCCAGTTGTTCTAGATAAGCCGATAATCTCTGGGCATATCTGTCTGCACACTGCCCTCCCCCCGCGGTTCTGATTTCTTCCTGTCTGCCGACCATTTCACCTGTGCCACCCATCCTCCCCGGTCTCCTCCCAGCCACTCTTGGCAGAGCCGGGTTATTTGCAAGGCTATGTCCTTGGGGTTGTGTAACAGATCCAGCCCCTGTTTCTTACTTTGCCACTGCCTTGTCAGCTCCAACTGCATGTGATTCTTAACCTGTTCCACCCCCTCCTCCCCCTCCACCCGAACCCCCTCTATGACCAGGGCACACCGCTGCCACCATAGAACCCAAAGGATCGCCCGCCTTCCTGCCTGAAACATATTCTCTTCAAACCCCCTCTTTGAGATGCTGGATAGTATCCAGCCAAGGTCGCTCACCAGTCCCATGGCCACGGGAGGCCGGGTACCATCTGCCGCCAGATCCTGTCCCACCATCTCCATGTGAGGATTGTGACCGGGCATTGCAGAAAGATGTGCTCAATCGATTCCTCCCGCCTTCTGACGGGAAGCCCTGCACACAGTGCTGACACCACTGCAGATCCCTCCCCTGCTGCTCCAGCTGGATATGATCAATCAACCAACCGTTGGTAGGAAGGCAGCGGTGGGCAATCTGCCATTGTACTGCTAACTGGTGCTGCCAACGATCATTCACTATGTGTTACACACTGTGTCACACGGGCCCGGTTAGGCCCGACAGATAGGGGCTCGGAGGCCGGTCCAGGCCGAAGGCCGGACCTTTAGACCGGAGGCGCCACTGTAGGCCCACTGGTTGGCCTTTAGGCCACAATTTAGGACCGGACCAGACGGGCAGGCCCAAACGACATTACCGTTGGGCCTGGCGGCGCTCTCGAGGCTGCCGCCCGCCGGTCTGATCTGAATCGTCAATGATTCAGATCACGGCTTGGCCTCGCAGCATAGAGGCCGGCCTTCCACACCGGTACTTAGGTACCAGGAGGCCGCCTTCTCAGGCATTCTGGAGGAGCAGCATTCGGAGGAGCGCTGCGCTATTTCTGTTTAGAGCGCAGCGCTACAGCAGCAGTGCTAGGTTAGCGCTAGACTGCAGTTGAGGATAGAGAGCGAGAGCGAGAGCGAGGCACTTACCTGGTACTTACCTGTGGCGCCATAGCTTCAGAGGACTTCTACTCAAGGCGCCACCTTGCATACTGCAGGTAAGGTTTAGGGCCAGGACGGGGTAGTGAGGATTCTCCTCCTCCCTACCTCGCCATCTCCCCCTCCTCCTCTGCTATCTCCTCTCCTTCTCCTTCTTCTTTCTTCTTCTTCTTCTTCTTCCTCCTCTTTCTTCTTCAGACTTCTTCCAAATCTTCTTCTTCTTCGTCGTCAGACTGGAGACTTTGATACGAGTTGGACCGAGATCAGTGTTTGGACTTCGGTTGTAAGAGGCTGTGATACTTACCGGATTCGAGACTTGGAGATAGCTGGGATTGGTACTCGGCGGCATCACAGATTGGACACGGGTTGTATTAGGACTCTGTACCTCCGACATTGGTGACTTATTGTACACGACATACTGATCATGTTCGAGGACATTTTGGACTACCATATCGGGGACCTATTGGATTCTATCTCGGTGACATCTGGCGCTGCCTACACCTCCCACCTCCATTGTCTCTCCTCCCACCTTTCGTCTGTGTATGGTTGTACGGGGCCTGAGCATTGTCTATGATTGGCTCAGACCCCACCATCTCACGATTGTTTGTGTGTTGAGTGATATCTGTATGAGTACAGTCTATGTGAGTCAGTCCATTTCTGAGACTTCCGCTGTATACATGCTCATCCTATATTGGTTGATCTTGGTTCTGCCCATGCTTGTTGAAGTATTCACGAGTATGCAACACTATGTCACGCAGATTCCTTTTGGTCCTCAGCATCCTGTATGCAGTTTTGACTTGGAGATGGGGAGGTGGGGCTTGGGGCGGGTGGACCTCAGCCCCACCGGGGGGAGCCATTGCCGCTCCCATGGCTCGAGGGGAAGTTCAGAGAGCGGGACGTCAGGCCGGTACGGCCAACTATCTGGCCCTTCCCCTAACACTCTGATTCTGTAAAGGAGCCCTTTTTGAGTCCATTCAAAGGGTCCTGACTCCCTAAAAGCTTCCTTTTCCCATCCATCTGGTAGAACTCCACCAAGACATCGTCAGGCCTCACGAGGTGGACCAACCCCACGCTATCTGGATCTCCTTTCCAGGACCTCTTCTTTCTTTCTTCTTTCTTCTTTTTTCTTTTACTTTCTTCTTCTTCTCTCTTCTTTCTTTGTTTCTTTTTCTTTCTTCTTCTTCTTCTTCTTCCAAAATTTCTAATCGGCCTCCCAACGAAACTGTCCGTTCAGAAATTCAGAAAATAATTCCCCAATTGCAGAATTCTGTGGAGATGAAGTCAGACTTTAATCTTGGAGTGATACTTGCACAATATCTGGTGGCCGGCAGGCTTGTGTGCCTGCCGACCGCCGACCCCGACCGCGGACTGTATTGCAGCCGACCAGTAGGGCCGACCGGTCGGCGGTCTGACGACCAGTCAGAAAACAACCATCCACTGATGTTTTTTCAAATCTGAGTTGGGGGCTGTACTGCGCTTGGTGAGCACACCCCAAATCTGCTGAGAAACTTTTGGGGATGGGGGGAGGGTATGGGGGGGCTGGGGTTGGAGTCCGCTATGAGGGTGTTGGTGGTGTTATTAGGGGTTCTGGACCTCAAAAAAAAAAAACCAAAAAAAAAAACCGACCCCCGACCGGTAGGTGCCGACCAGTCGACCGGTCGGTGGGTCGGCAGCCGACCAGTCAAGGGCCGTCGACTGTCGGGGTGTGCAACACTGGTGGACGGCCAATTAGTAGGGCGGACCAAACCCCTGACAGAACGTGCCTGACTCTTTGAGGGTTGCGAGACTTTCAGGGGTCTACTGGCGGTCAAATTTTAGGGTTGACAGCTTGACATCCCTAAAATAGGCTCGCCAGGACAATCCGCTCCACTTCGCTTGCCGTTCGATGTCGCTTATCTCGCCCCCATGAGCACCAACCTTCCTCCTTTCACCAGTGATGTCCACTGAAGAAATCGGAGCACCACTCCAGAACTCGAACCCCCACTTGAGAGGAGACTGCCATCAATTCGCTCGCCCGTCGCACACGGTCGCTGCTCTGATGCCAACTGTTATGTAACTGATTGAAACGCAGTCCACACCACACTCACATGTTCCCATACACGCATGCAATTATGAAGCAGACTTGGAGAAGGCAAATCCACACAACAACCGGAGATAGGGCCTCGTTAGACCCTCCTTGGGAAGACGATTTTTAGGAATTCGGCATGGTTACACCGCGTCCTAATCCACCGAATTCCTTGGATTAACGAGGCCCAAAGTGAAAACGCTCCTGAGAGATTTCCTTGGGGATGCTCAGAATCGCCAGCCATTGCATCCTTGGATTCAAGGGTCCTCCTGAGGTCCTTTGGGCTCAAGGAGCCGCGATTGACGGAGAGGAGAGGACACACACGTAGAGGAGATGTTACAACGGTCGAACCGGGATCGTGGCGACACCCTATTGGCTGAAAGCCTTAAGCACAACTGTTTATCTTTTTCTTTTTTCTTTTTCCCCACGAAAAAGCTCCAAGGACGAATCTCTAAGCCGACGCTCCAAGGACACGGTGTAACGATGACGCGAAAATGATACATTAATCAAAGGACTTCCTCCTAATTCCTGAGGATTTTCCAAGGAGGGTGTAACTAGGCCCATAGATAGACAGCGGAAGCTCAATATACAAAAATAGATTTGAACTTTGAAGTGCAGACTTCAAATCTTAATCCCCCCTTCCTTCTCCAACCAATCAGATTACAATTTCCCAGAATTTCAACTGAGTTTCAATAACCGCGAATGAATTCAACAACCAGTTTCAAAGGAGTAAATGGAGATTTCTCCTTCCTCCACATCAGCTCCTGCAGGCCTAGCTATGGCGCCAATCCTGAGCAGTGCCGCACACTTCACGACACCTGCAGACCACCGACGCAACCCTCACTTGGGAGCACCACCCTGAAAAACCCACCAAAAACTGTTTCCAAGACCAGTGCCCAATCAGCAGGGCAGCGCCAGCTTCCCTGATGAAGAAGATGTCTACCCCTCGGAGAAGATGCAGACCGCTGCCATCACTAGGAAGAAGATGATGCAGCGCCCAAACTCCCAACATACACAGACGAGGTCCCTGCTAAGCAGCACCTGCAGCACGATCTGCAGCGCTGTGTCTTTCCAACCAGTATACTGCCCCAGCTATGGCGGTCACCCAGCATGAAGCCCTAGCAGCGGACCTTCCACAGCGCAGTCACGTTCAGCTGCCAGCGTGGCCGCATTTCCCCAGCCAACACAAAACGAAAAGATCCCAAATCCAATCGTGTCAGAGCATTTCTATTCCTAACCTACGGCCTACCGGACCCTCATACGTCACAAAACAGTGCGGTCTGAAACTCAGCCTATGGTACCAGTGCCCAAGTAGAAAATCAGTCCCGGGCCTGGACTTTGGAAGAATTACGGGAAAGTCCTTGCGGGGACTAGGCCTCATGGGTGTTACCCGTTAGGTCCCAAACCAAAACAATATTGCAAAAATGACCTTATTAATGCTACAGCCCACTGAGAAACTGCAAGTCCTTCCTCTACTTCTTTCTTCTGTTCCTTTCCCCCCCCTCCTTTTTCTTACTTCATTCTCCTTTCTTTCTTCTCGCTTCCTTTTTCTTTTACTTTCTTCTTCTTCTCTCTTCTTTCTTTCTTTTTCTTTCTTTCTTCTTCTTCTTCTTCTTCTTCTTCTTCTTCTTCTTCTTCTTCTTCTTCTTCTTCTTCTTCTTCTTCTTATCCTTCTTGTATTTCCTCCTCCTCCTCCTCCTCCTCCTCCTCTTCTTCTTCTTCTTCTTCTTCTTCTTCTTCTTCTTGGTCCTCATTCTTCTCCTTCTATGTTTTCTTGGTCCTCCTCCTCCTCCTTCTTCTTCTGCTGCTGCATCTGGTCCTCCTCCTCCTCCTCCAGATTGCGGACCGATCAGAACTTTTTCAGATCGGCCTACAATCTGTGCCATCAGCAGGTCCCACACGGCAAACGGTCAAGATGACCCATGGATCCTGCAGTCTGGGACCTACGACCCATCAACAGTCACATCAGCGCACTAGTTAGTTCTGACTGGAACTGGTTAGTTTTTACAGCGGTGCCAATGCTTAACACAAGCTCGCATGCACGCACCCCCCCCCCC